GGGAAAGCTGTCTCCCTCTGCCACTGTCTCCTGTCGTCTCTATTAGAAAAAAATAGAAAGAATTCGGCTATTCAACAATTGTACAAAGCAATTTAAGTGTTACTTGTTAAAATAGAATTTGTCTTACATTTTATTTTTACCTGGCCCTCCAGCCCCACATTACACAGAAGAAGGGAAAATGCTGCAAACTTCTACTGCTGTAAAATTGTAATTACATTTAGAGAGAAATCCCATTGAGTGGATTCAAATTGATTCATTGATCTCTAACGCTCTCATTACAGCAAAGTAATACATTATTAACATAGATGACAAGCAAATGGAATACACACAAATCAAGCAGGAGATTGACTAAGCATCTGCCATGGACTTTGGTATTGCATCTGCAAAAGAGATTTTTTTGAGACAGGGTCTCACACTGTCATCTAGGCTGGAGTGAAGTGGCCTGATCTTGGCTCACTGCAACCTCCACTTCCCAGGTTCAAGTGATTTTCTTGCCTTAGTCTCCCGAGTAGCTGGGACTACAGATGCACCCCCCACTAAGTTTTGTATTTTTTGGTAGAGACAGGGTTTCGCCATGTTGGCCAGGCTGGTCTTGAACTCCTGGCCTCAAGTGATCTGCCTGACTTGGCATCCCAAAATGCAGGGATTATACGTGTGAGCCATCATGCAGGGCCTGAAAAAGAGAATTTAATTTTCCTTGAATTTGGGAAAGCTCCCGGTCTGTCTTATACGATTTCTAAATTATCTTGAAATACATATTAAATTAATATTTCATGTTGACAATTCTGTGTCATTTAACTTGCTTCTCCCATTTTTCCTTCATCTCCTTTCATTTGATTGTACAGTATGTTATTTCAGTGAAAAAAAAAAACAGATTTGGAGTAAGAATGTCTAAATTTGTGTTTATATGGATTGTTAATTTGGGGCAAGCCATTTCATTTTAACTCTGAAAATTTGTTCTTATCTCTACAATGGGTACCCCTAACCCTAACTCAGGGAGATTTGTTTCAGTTTTAGATTAAATATTATATGTACAGTACTTAAGTGTCATAAATACTGAATTCTCATCAATGAATTAAAACATACCTGACTGTGAAACTTTTAAGAAAAATCACCTTTTCTTCTTTCATTCTTTCTCTTTCCTTTCCTCCCTCCCTTTCTTTCTTCCTTCTTTCCTCTTCTTTTTCCAACTTTAATAACATCATTCTACTAAAAGTGCCAACACAGGTTTCTATATTTGAAGCCGTTTGAGATAGATTTTCCTCCAGTAGTTGTGAAGTAAGAATTTACACGTACATGAATGGCTTTTCTTTACCACAAATTTATTAAATCCTTTGACTTGATAGGCAGTATGCTGGTTGCTGAGAAACAGCAGGGTATAAAATCAGACAGAGCCTTAACTTTTAGTTTGCTTTGCAAGCATCATTATAAAAATAGTATTACTATTAGCACCCTACACACACTGAAGCACAGCACTACCACCTGCAGAGATTTTCTGAGTTATATGAAAGAGAACAAAAATCAGGCAACTGCTCTGGCTAGTGGAGAATGGGGCTGGAAACATCCTGGATGTTTTCTCATTTTAAACTTTTTTATTCTAGACCACAGGTTGGTGAACTGTGGCTTACAGATCTAATCCGGTTCTTTGCCTGATTTTGCAAGTAAGGTCCAATAGGAACTCAACCATATTCTTTCACTTACCTATTGTTGATTGCTATTTTTGTGCTACAAACGCAGAACTCGGTAGTTGCAACAAAAGTTTATGTCCTGCAAGAACAAAACTATTCATTGTCTAGCCCTTACAGACAAAGTCTGTTGACTCCGCTCTAGTGAAAAATCTTTACCAATGTCTGCCAGAGAGCTTGTTCCCTAAACAAGCCAGAGACATGTTATAACTGCCTCCATTCTTTCTCCAATTAACTGTTCTTCACTTTGCTGGTCCTTCAAATAAGTGTCCCTTTTTGTTGCATGTGAAGAGGAGTCCCAAAATGGCCTCATACTTCCCTTGTTGTGACCCATACCATTTGTGCTGTCACAGACTTTGAGCCCTTAGGTTTTCCCATTTCTTTTGGTTTTTATTTTGAGTCCCATCCTCCCCTCACTCTACCAAAAAAAAAAAAAAAATGAAGCAATATTTGGTCAGAAAATCACTTAACTGTAGTTCAGAGGAGCTCGTGGGTGGTAGGGTCCAAACAGGACCCTGGAGCTGCGTATGATTAAAAACAAACAGAAGCTCCCAGAGAGCTGCTGGTACTATTAATATAATGCCAAGGGCTACTTCTAGCCCCTCTAACAGGATGCTCCAGGCTATAAGCAGCTATGGGTATTCACATTTGAGCAGCACCTCGGACACCAGCCAACAGGCCTTCTTGTTCTACCTAGGATCTCTGCACTCCAATGGGTGCTTCTGCTCCCTTGCCTGTGTCCATGCTCCCCTGGCATTGTATATACTGTTTATATCCCTACTGTGATGCACCTCCAACTTTAGAAGGAGATGTCATACAGTGGAGACAAAACTGGATAAGGACTGGACAAAGGCAGGTCCAAGCACTGCTTACGTACTTCACTGACTTGGTGACTTCCAATTATTTGATTTCCCCTCTAGACTTAAAAGTTATCACTATGGATTTAAGAGTCATTTAAGAACAGTGATGATTTTTGGCCCTGTAAATCAGCAGGCACAAGGCAAGTATTTGTTTTTCTTCCTTGCGATAATTCTTTAATTATTTGGTGTTGACCAAATGTTAGAGAAAAGCACACTTAGTAAGTAACCCACGGTCACATTGCCGTTAACCAACAGATAACTCCCAACTCCATGTGACTCTAAAATCCCTGCTTTTTCCCCAAGAATCTATTCTGTTAATTTGTAACAACTGACCCTAAGAAACATGGCAGAAATTCGAGAACTGAGACTTTTGGAAGCTCCTGAAATCTGATTTAGTTTGCTAATATTGAATAGATCCCACGGAAATATGTTTGAGAAACTAAGTAAACTGCACTTTTTAACTCTGCATTCATTGAGTTTCAGTAAGCTGGGCTTTGACAGTTACAAAATAGTTATGGTAGTTAAAAACACTAGCTATGGAAACACAGCCGGGTGTGGTGGCTCACACCTGTAATCCCAGCAATTTTGGAGGCCGACGTTGGTGGAGGACCTGAAGTTAGGGGTTTGAGACCAGCCTGGCAAACATGGCAAAAACCTGTCTCTACTAAAAATACAAAAATAATTAGCCAGGCATGGTGGGGCATGCCTGTAATCCCATGGTGAGGCTACTGGGGAGGATGAGACAGGAAAATCACTTGAACCTGAGAGACTAAGGTTGCAGTGAGCCGAGATTATGCCACTGCACTCCAGCCTGGGTGACAGAGTGAGACTCCATCTCAAAAAAAAAAAGAAAAACCCAAAACAAACAAAAAAAACCACTAGCTATTGGAATACAAAGTAATAGAAATAGTAACCAGCAGAACAGAGGAAAGTAGCAGAGTTAATAGTGTAATTTTAAAAAATAATAAAATGTATTAATAAAATGTTAGGTGATGGTAATTCATTAAGACTTGCTTTGTCCACTACTGGAAATAAGTATTTTCATTTTCTACATAATCATAGTTACATAAGGACACTTGATTGATGACTGTCAGCTCATTGTTAGAACCATGTCTGATTTGCTCTAATGATGAGTGCTTTTCATGAGCCCATATTCCCACAGATGTTTTTGTTTTTAGTTTGCAGACCCACAAAATTAGCTCACTCTTTTCCTCAAGTTTTGAACTTTCACTTACATGTTCTTATTTTGCCACTTCCTCAAAATTTTTGTTTTGTACAATCTCAGAGACCTTGTGCAGGAAAAATATTGTAGAATAGTTGTAAGAAGCACTGTTCCTTGAAAGTGATATTTTTAAATTCATTGACTTGTTTTTACAAGTTGATTGTCAAGGTATTGTGCAGTGCTTTTCGAGCTTCTGTGTACATGAGATTCTAATTCAGCAAATCTGGGATGGAACCCAGGAATTTGGATTTGTCACAAGCATCCAGATGGCAGCAGGCTGGCCGTTGTACCACACGGGAGTAACCGTGTAATTGATTGTTGTATCATTTATTTCCCATGGTGTGACACAGTGCTGGGTATTTAGTAAGAAATGAATCAATAATCAAAGGCGTTACTAGAGAGGGGGTGATATGAGGTACTCATTTATTTATCCAGTGATTCAATGTTTCAACCCTCAATGAGTGCCTGTCAAGTACTGGACATTATTGCTGATACTGGAAAAAGACACGTTGTTATACTGCATGCTTCCAAATAGCATGGCTTCTAATGAGGGGTTTGGAAAAGAGAAAGCATCATTTTGAGATAATATATAGATGTTAGTAAAGTGGTAATTGGCAGAAGTTAAAGAAGTGACCAACTCCTCGTTCCAAAACATCCTCATTGTGCAACATTGAAAGAACCACCCAGTTTCTTTTAAGTGTCTGTTTCTTAATTCATGCAAAGGAGATGCTAATAATAAAAGCAAAAAAATAGTATGCCTCAATATGATTATTATATGAAATGAGTTAAGTGAAAATTAAGTTGGTAAATTGTGAAAGGCAAAATACATGCGAATAATAATATTTATAAATCTCTTCTTTCTTTATAGATTTAGCTAGGTCTCTTACCCCAATTTGGTATGGCTGATTGAATGCCTAAGCTAACATTTTCTATTACCATGCCGAGTAGCAAACTGGATATCTCTATCTGATTTTTCATTGAAAGAGGCATAGGTTACCTATCTCAATGACATGAAATCTCTAGAACCTGGGGCTGTATACTAATGGCATTCTACCTGAGCTTTTAGAATCTTTTCCCTTAAAGCTGCAATAACAAATAACTGGTGGAGCTGCTAGATTTAATAAAGACCCCTGTTCTGAGATTCCTGAGCAGTGTTTATCCCTTTACCAAGTATGTAAAATGTATACCATGGTAGGGTGATCTTTAAAAATGATCCCTGCCTTACTATGTCTTTGTTATTTGAGCATTATAAATATATTTTACCAATACTTAGAATTGACTTTATGAACTTTTCTCTGTGATCCAAGCGATTATCAGAACTTACCTGATGGTGGGCTTCAGTAATTCTCACTGAACTTGTACTAAGCTTCATGAGAAATGCAGTGTAACAGAAATTCAGTGACAAAATTACTGTGAGATTTTGTTGACAAACATTTTAGTAAATCTTTTTTCTTCTGAGATGCAGTAACATTTTATTTGTACAATATGTAAATGATACAAAATGATGAGAAAAAAAGAAATAAACTTTTCTCTTCTGTATATTAATCAAGGACTTAGCTCGACTGTACTAGTGGAGATATATTCCGCATGACGTTTTCCACATGAAGTGTCTAGTTCTGAAATTACTACTTGATTGCATGGTATATGTGTCTTTCTGTGAGAAAATAAGAAAAGCAGAAAATAAACCTATTTATCTTGGCAGTCAGCACCCTGAATTTTATATTTAATGAGTGTTAAACAGGTAGAATCAGAGTTGAATATAGCAGATCTAATGGTCTAATTTGAAAAACATTAGTCCCTTTTTATTGCCTATCTTATAAACAAGTCACATCAAATTATTCTTGTTCTCTAATACTTTCTATGTAGAGTCTGTGTTTTGAGACAGCTGGTAAATTGTGAAAGGCAACATATATGCAAATAATAATACTTGTAAACCTCTTCGTACTTTATAGAGATGGGCAGGTCTCCCTGCCTCTGTTCAGTAGAAGTGACTGAATGCCTAAGCTTACTTGCCTTACTGTAGAATCCTCTAAGAGAAATATATTGTAAAGATAAAAGACAGCTAAATAAAGTCAATGATAAGGCCCTGTCCAGAACACCACAAGCAGCCCACGCCGTGTTTCCATCACACCATCACTATACATGCAGAGCTGCCAGCTGAGCATGCTGCTGCATCAAAGAAGCACCCCAGCCCAGGCTTGCTCCACTTCACAGTTTAACTAAATGTATTAAAGATTAGAATGTCCCTAAAAGCAGATTGCACCTTATAGCCTTCTTTTTCAAAGGGTTTGAAAATGTCTTAAGGAAGGATAATGCCTATTCGGGATTTATGATTATTACTCACAGGCTTTATTGTTCATCCTGCTTTCACACTGAGCATCCACATCACATCCACAGGAGAGCATCCAGAGGCAGCCTCGTCAATGAAAGTTGTTGTGGTAATAATTTATCCCAGAGTCTGACTCCATTGTTCTGCATGTATTACATAGAACTTCTATGGAACATCAAACATATTTATTGATAGGAGAAAATTGTGTCTTTATGAGTGTTTCTGTAATGAAATAGGATGAGGGATGTGGAAAGTCACTGGCAGTTTCAGTTCAAGCAGCACCCTTCAGGAAGAGAAAAATGGGAATGTTTTTATGAACATGAAATAAAATTCTAAAAATAGATGGGATGTTCTAATATATAGGCATATTGTCCTTTGTGAAGGAAGAGGGCACTGCAGATTCATTCTTGTTGCCAGGTGTTCACAGTTAGAAGCATTGAATATTATGCACACCCTCCCTAATATTCTTACTGCCTGGTCAGTGAGTACTTCCACAGGAATTAGTAAAGGATACTTACTACTGGTTTAGTGAGGGGTACCTTTACCTCCCATCCCAGACTTACCCCTGCCCAGAGATAGCAACACAAGGGGAATTTGGTCTTACATGGAACACTATTGGTATGATAACTCTCTATCTGTGGAGCACTGGGTGGCTTGCAATAAAGGCTATTACCTCATTGGCCACGTACCATATCGTTTTGCTGCCTACTAATGCTTTGCTCCTTTTTTCCCCTCTTTTCAATTTGCATTTAGAAGAGCTAGCAACCTCACTTGGCAAAGCTAACTGCTGATGTAGCTGACGATAAAGCACTATGTCATCACTTGAATCTCAAAAATTATAAGGAAACGAAGAGCTAACATATATTATGTTGATATTTTTTTTCTGAAGCCAGAACCTATTTTAATTGTGTCAAAATAGTGAAAAAGAGTTATCTCAATGTGGTCCTAGGTCATAACCTTCAAACTGATGTTGAAAGGTCCAACTTGGAAACTACAGGAGGTAGAAAGGAGTTAATTGAAAGAAAAGAAAGAGTATTTAAAAAATGAGAAATACAGTGAAACTTGGAATACTCTGTTGTGAGAAAGGGCTTAATATTTTTTTTGGTTTGGTTTAATATTGGAAGGAATCAGTTCAGATGATATAGCTCTTATATAAAGAATGTTATGGAATACAATCCTCCCAAGATACCAGCTGAGGATAAATATGGTTATCAAACTATCTTATTTAACTGTATAGCATTGAAAAGTAGGTTAATTAATAGATAGAACAATTTGGCATAGTTCTTACCTTCATGGGAATTATAGTCTAGGTAAATGTAGGTATCTATATCCTTTTTATGCTCTGAAATATGTGTATTTTTCTTTCTCTACAATTTCGACATTAGAGCTGTGCTCTTCTGAATATTCATCAACTTCTGTTATGTGTAGGACCTGGAGAACATTAAATAGGAAATTAGAAATTTCAAAACGTGGGTTTACAAATCTCAGGCAATTGGAATGTTCATCAGAAAGACTTTAATGCCAAGGAAAATCATGCTAGGCTAACAATGACAACTCTACATCTTGAAAACAAATTCCACCTCTCTCTTTTTTTCTCTCTTTCTTCATATATATGTGGAGATATTTTTGGTCTATATACAGAAATATCTATATATCTTTCTATCTGTATTACAGATATATTTATATACAGAAATATCTGTATATAAAAATATCTGTCTATAGTAATATAGATAATTCTACATAGAAATAAAGAGCTAACATGTTATACATAAAGATATAAATATCTTTATATAAATGTATAGAAATACATTTATATAAATACATTTATATAGTCCATAAATATTATATATTTATATAATATCTATCTATATATCTAGATATATCTATTTATATATCTATAAATACATATATAAAATACACTTATATAATATATTAATATATATTTCTATATATAAATATTTGAATATCAATATATAGCATATGAATATTAACATACAGATTATATATAGACATCTGTTATCTCTCTATATAACTATATATTATATATCTACTATATAGATATATTAGATAATCTAGACATATTAGATAATACATGGATATTTCTATATAGAAATGTGTTCTATTTATATACTATATCTATATAATATAGATATATAGATTATATAGATAGTATATATATATATAGACACACACATACACATGCACATATAGACATATATTTGTTTTCATAATTTAGGTTGGATCAGTATCAAAGTGTAGCCATCTCTGTGATGTTTGAAGCCTCCTATCTATACTTCTTCCCTTCTTGAGGGTTTTGTCACTTATTTCCTATATCTTAAACGTCTATTCTCAAAATGATGTTGCAATTTATTTCAACATTTGCAAGTCTATAATCTTAACCAAAAAACCCTCTTTGACTACAGCTATCACATTTTTTTCATAGTCAAGCATCTTGAAATAGTTGTTTTCTCTATGTGCATCCCTCCTCACATCTCATGCATTCACCTTAGTATTATCTGCAATTTGTACCACCAGTCCCCTCTTCTAGTCAATGACCTCTACGTTGCTAAAGCCAAAACACACATTTTTCTTTCTCTTTCTAGTTTTCTCTGTGGCATTTTATTTCAGAAACTTTCTTCTTACTTTGCTTCTAGGAGACTACTGTCTTCTACTTTTTCCTATTTCTTCGGACGTTTATTCTCAACTACCTTCAGAGGTTTCTTTTCCTTTATTTGTGCCTTAAGTAGCAGCATTTTTCAGGGCCTTCCCCAACCTTTCATCTTTCTTTCTATACATTATCCTTGGGTGATCCCATTTAAATTCAAGACCTCAAGTATCACCTTGAATATTATGATTCCAAATCTATTATTCCCACTTAAAATTCTCTCCTAAATTTCAGACGTGTATATTCAGTACCTACTTAGTATTTCCGTTTGAATATCGGATGGTTATCCTACGCCAAACACACCCCAAAGATAATGTATTATCTTACTACTTTCACTTTTTTTAACTTCTGTTTCCTTTCTTGACCAGCACAGATTCCAAAGATTAAGATGTTTCTTTCTTCCCACCCTTTCCACATCAAGTCACCTTCTTGTATCACGTCCATCTGTTCTCTCCTCTGCAGTGGCACTGCCATAGTTCATATTCTCGACTGTTCTCATCTAGGTTACTTGGCAAAGCCAATTGCTGATGTAGCTAAAAATAAGGCATTATATTATTATTTAACTTTTTTAATCCATAGGTATGGAAGAAAATAAAAAGTTAAAGTCCAGTCTCTATTGACTTGAGTAATCCTCTCATTTTGCTAAATCTCAACTTAAAATTGTGATAATGGTACTGCCTTCCCTAAAGGGTTGGTATAATGTTGAAGAGAGAGAATACATATTAAAAGCTTAGGACAGTGTCTAGCACAAATTAGATATGTGACATTACCTTTTCCTTTTATTTAATAAGAAATATTCCACCTCCAATCTTGCCTTTTTCCAACCTATTCTCTAACCAGAAGACAAAAACATATTTCCAAAAAAAAAGTCAAGATGAAATCATCTAAACATCTTTCCGAGGCTTAGAGGCTACTCTCATCATCCTAATCTCTTACCACTGGCCCTACTTCACCCCACACCTCAAATGCTATGCTCTAGTTTTATGGAGATTTTTATTGTATTCCCAAAGAGCCTGCTTTTTTTCATACCCATTTACCTTTGCAGAAGCGTCTGAATATACCTAGAACTCTTTTTTTCATTCAACTAAATACCTACTCAGCTGTCAGGACTTACACACTTTTGCCAACCTTTCCATAATCTTCCATTATTCAATCTGTGTCCAGGACTAACCTACTTATTTCTATAACAGCTTGTGTATATTTCATTCATGATACATTATATACTTTGCTCTAATTGTCTGTATTATAATATATCCTACCCAGTAGAACAATAAGCTCTTCTGTTGGTATACTATCTTTTCATAACTCTACCTCCAATAACATGTTTTTAATTAATGCAGAGGACTTGAATTAATTTTTAATTAGACTGGCCACAAGGAGTCTATTTCTCCCTTCCTCTCAGCAGTTTATCCATTTTGGTTCCTCTTTCTCTGTAGATAAATATTTCTAAGATTTCCCTTCTATTGATAAGTTGGAAAAATAAAAATGATGAAACTCCCATATAAAGCATTATATTCCTTAAGATTAAGTTCAACATCACATAATGAGAATAACAACATTGACAGTGGCTCTTTTCACAGCGTAAACCCAAAATTGGGATTCAGTCTTAGAGGCCACGTGAGTTCTTAGCTTTGTGCAGGAAGGAATTTTAAGAGTTAGCCCACAGAGTAAAGGGAAAGCAAGTTTATTAAGAAATTGACTACATAAATAGAAGTAAAACACTCCTCAGTAAATGCAAAAGAATGGAAATCGTAACAGTCTCTCAGATCACAGTGCAATCAAATTAGAACTCAGGTTTATTAAGAAATGTTTAAAAATATGAGTGGCTATCCATAGGCAGAGCAGCTCTGAGAGCTGCTGGTTGGCCACTTTTGTGATTATTTCTTGATCCACCCTAAACAAGGGGTGGATTATTCATGAGTTTTCTAGAAAGGGCCAGGTTTCTGTCTGTTTTCTTATGTGATCATAATTTTCTTATGGCCATGTTTTAGCATATAGCCCCAAGTTTTGGGGTCTCTTAAAAGTTTTACCAGCCCTAATGAATAGGATCAGAAGTCGTGATATGATAAAACTACATCTACTAGGAATTTATTTCAGTTTTAAAATCTACTTAGGGTCTATGAGAAATCTTAGAAAAAAAGATGAATGGCCTTCTTGAACAACTTTATGTATTTGAAAAGTGGGGTTGTATTCTAGTTACATTGTCTTATTTGAAGCTTATTTTGGTTGGGATAAGATCATAGAAATTTACAAGAACAGCAACAGGCAAAGGGGGGCCTTCTCTTGTAGGCTTGCCAGATGTAGCAAATAAAAAAACAGGGCACACAGATAAATTTGAATTTTAAGTTAAAAAATGATTTTGGGGGTATAAATGTATTACTTGGGATATACTCATAAAAATCATTATTTTATTTGAAATTTAAATGTAACTAGACATCTTGTATATTACCAGACAACCCTATACTCTTCTGAAGCATGTCATTCTTATGAACCTGTCTAGTCCCATATCAATTTGGTAGAACCAGGAAAGCTCAAAGGGTAAAGACTCTGCTCTATACAAGCACTACAGGGTAATGCATTCTAGAAATGTTTTAATTTCTATTTGAATAATAAAACTTTAAGAGTATTATGTTCATCAGTCATTACAGAAATAAAGTGAAGTATTCATGGACAGTGAAGTCTTGGGATAGTTACAAAATAGTGAGTAGTTATACACACAGCCATAGTATTGAGAGAGGACAAGTTTTGAAGCCAGAGTCTATCACTTGACTCTGAGTACATTTTCCTAGGTTTAAGGCTTAGTTCCTTCACCTGTAAAATGGGGATAATAGTACTCACTTGATAAGATTTTTGTCAGGACTAAATTAGATAATGTTTGCATAGAGCCTTGCCCAAAGGTAATTGACACTAAGTAATAATCCTTATGATAGCAAAATGATTTTTAGAGAATTACAGGCATGAGCTACCATGCCCAGCCACAGTTTTCACTTCTAATTATAGAAAGCCAATCTAGCAGTCTGGATCCAATTAGGAGATAGAAGCCATATAGTAGTTTAAAGAGGGGGTAGTTTAATATTTAAAAAAAAATAACTATGGTAAATGTAACTGTAAGATATAAGCAACCCCAGAAGGATAACCTTTGATCCAAGGAATTACAAACCTGTAAGACTTCCCTTGAAGAAGATGTGGTTTGGCGATGGAGAGTAGAGATGTTCTCTGGTTTGGCCGGGCTGGAGCTGTCTGCTGCTGCTGCACAAACATGTCACCCTCTATAGTGGAGTGCCAGCAGGTGAGGAGTAAAAGATCAGCACGTGGTGGCTGGGTGGGAAGTGCAAGGGAGTCCAGGTGCTGGTGGAGGTGGAAGGCTTTCAGAGCCTGCACATGGCAGGAGGAGCAACCACTTGGTGTTGTGAGCCTCTGGGACACAGGTGGTTGAAGGCAGGCCGGCTAGGCAGGGCTTGTCCAGGGAGTCCTGGAAATATTGTCGCTGGGAATATTGCCAGGTTAAGGCAACAAGATCAGAAAAGGACAAGTGCTGGGCCAGTGGACACAGGGACATTATCTAGTAGATATTCTTACACCCACACTGTTGGCCCCTCTGGCCTGGGCTGGAAATTGCAGGAAGCCCCTTCCTCCTGTAGTTTCCCCTCAGTGTCTTCTACTGAGAAAGCTTAATATCATCTTCACTTTAAAGGAAAAATGCTTAAACAAATTCTGTGGTTTATTATATTGGAGGGTGCTTGGGAGCTGAGAGGCAATAAAGTGGTAAGTGACACAGCAGATATGCCAAACAAACACAGAGATAATCTAGAAATCACAACACCGTAAAAATGTGTTCAAATACTGTGTTCTGCTCTATGGCTCCTTCAGTTCTGTTTTTCTTGATATGAAAAATTGGCATATATAGGTATAAGGTTACTTTAGTTCATAATTTAAATATGAATATCCATCCACATCATGATAGCTATGCATATGCTGCAAAATAATTTGAAGAATTACAAAATAGCACATCAAAGAGATGCTATGGTCTATTGAGTCAAAACTCCAGTTTTTGAAAGCTGCCTAAACATAATTTACCTTTCTAGCATCAGTTTAAATTTGCACAATAGACCATAATGACTTCTGAAAATCTCATGTAAATAATGATCCATTTAATATGTTTTTCAAAGAAATATATTTTAAACAGTTTTTTATATTGCATTGATACATTGTGAGAGAGCTCATTTTTCCCCATTAAAAATGTTTCTCAGAGAAAATAGTAAAAGAAAAATTACTATGCTGATCATGATGCCAGGGGAAAAGTAAGAATCCTTGTAAATATGAAGTTAGTTGAACTGCTGCGAATTGCTATATTATGGTAGAGTGACAAGGTATTTGAATGTATCACACTGGTTATCAGGTCAGCATTGATCCACCAAGATCTAAAATTAACCACGTTGTAATCTCTGGCAATCATAAACTTTCCTTCATCTAATTTTTTATCTCTAATTATAAAACATATATATGTATATAAACACACACACACACACACACACACACACACACATATATATATACTTTTTGATTGTTGATTATTTATTATATGCCAGGCACTGTGCTGAGTACATTGTCTTTTCATCACACTCTTCCTATTATGACATGTGAAGAGGGTATTATTATCATCATTCCATAGATGAGGAACATGAGAAGACTGTAACAAAGTATCATTTCAAAAACTGAACAGCTGGGATTTGAAGAGTTATCTGTCTCCAAAGCCCTGACTGATTTTAGGCATGTTTCCAATTCTATATTGAAGTAGAGATTTGTACTTTATTATTAGAGGTGTTACCATCCAGAGCACCACTTCTCAAATTTTCATGTGCACACAAATCACCCAAGGATCTTTATAAAGTACAGGCTCTAACTTAGCAGGTTGAGGGTCATCATGAGATTCTAACAAGCTCCCATTTGGTGCCCATATTGCTAGTCCGTGAACCATACTTACTGTAGAAATGAGTAAGAGAAAAATGTGATTGGAAAAGATCAATATATTATTGAGATCCAAATAAACAAGATTTCAGCTGTTCAACTTAATAAAAAAGTAAAGAGATCAATATAGAACATGTTTTATAACTTCTTGGCTCTAAAAAAAGAAAGAAGAACTTGGAAAATCCTGCTGTAAACATCATGAAGAAACTCACAAGAAGGGCAAGAATGTATCAAAAATAGATGGCCCAAAGAACAGAATGCTTATCCATCTATTACACCCAGGGACAATTATGATGAAAGCAATTATCATTAGAACTGAAGCCAATGTCTTCTCAAGATAGTTGAATGCTTAAAACACTAATGTGATAATTTAATAACTGACTGAATAACTTTTGTTAGATTTATCATTATGTTCATTTTCAGTGTGATCTAAAATTTTTAACACTTAAATTGTTTATATTTGTAAATGATTTCTGTTAATATTTCTCAAAATTAATCCACACGCTTCATGTGATGCAATCATATATATACATATATATATACATACATATATACAAAAAATATGCAGCCTAACAATTACATGTGTGGTCCCTGAACCAGCAGTATCAACATCATGAGAGCTTTTCAGAAGACAAACTTAGGACCCAGCTCTACCCTGAATCTATATTTTAACAATATCAGCAGTGGTTTCATACACACAGTAAAGTTTGAGAACCACTGGTCTACAGAAGGTGTGATTTCAAAACTATAATGGGCCATCTAAAGATGCTAGAAAAATAGTATTGTTTTACAAAACTATATTTAAACAAAATATGTTTAGTAAAAAAGATGAAGTGTTGAATATGTAATCACACCATAGCAGTATTTCTCTTGACAACAAAGTGTTTCTGATATCAGCATGAATCAAAGTAGTACAAGCAGAGGCTGCCCTTGAAGAATTATTCATCTCCTTTCTTTTTTCTTTTGGCTCACAAATTTGCTTTTCTCATATTCCCTTTTCTTTTTCAAAGATTGTAGGAAAAATTATGATAGTTACTGTCTTAGAATTATTGGCTGCTGCTGGACACAGGTTATTATTCCATCAGCATCTCAATTTTTGAAGTGGAAGGAAAGAAGGAAAACAGATCATGAGAAAGGAAAAGCCAGTTCCTTAATTTTGCTGTTGACTTGCCCTTTGAGTTTTTATATTCTCACCTGCACCCTGGTCTCAGCAAAACAACAGGTGCAAACTGCAGATGGATCCTATCTTTACTGCAGACAGACACATCTGCCGCTAGTTACATGATTCTGAATTTGAAATACGGCCAGCAGCAACCAGATTTGTGTCCTGTAGTGGCAGGGCAGAGGGCTGCTTTGAACAGTAAGGATACTTAGAGGCTGTACTATTTCCATCTGAGTAGTCAATCAAGACCACCATTCTAACTTCATTTCAAAAGCTTGAGTACTGTTTTTTTATTTCCCCTACAGATAGGTATAAACATCTTTCCACAAACAAAAAAAAACTTTATCTAAATACTCAATTTTATTACATAATTTAGTGTATTCATTTACATATATATTTTCATTATATGTAGATGAAATTTATCAAAATACCATAAATTATGCCTTTCAAAGCTGAAAATTTAAAATATATTATGACAGACATGTTAAATTATTTTTTCCAATTTTACACTCAAAGGTATCTGATATATTTAAATTTTTGTGAAGGTATATAATGCATTAAGTCTTATATACATATGAAATTACTATGGCAGATTTTGTTGATGCCAGTTCCAAGTGTGTGTGTGTGTGTGTGTGTGTGTGAAAGAGAGAATGAGAATAGTTTTATTATTTGAGGCATAACTACATTTTTATGTGTAACATGAAACAGGAACTAATATTCCATACTTTAAATAGCTATACCAACAATATTTTTACTGTTAAATAATTCTACATCAGTCAATAAATATATATGTGTCATCAGACTATATATATATGTGTGTGTGTCAATTATTGCACGTTGGATACACAGGTGGGGTGTGTGTGTGTATTCTGAAGCTATGGCTGACCAATAGAATATGAATAACATTATTTAGCACAAAGATATATATGACTATATTTATAGTCATATGCAGATTAGAGAAGACCAAATATTTCACATACCAGTTTATATGTTACATTTTTAGAGTAACACTATTTCCAATTAAAGATGTTGTTTTTGACATATATAAAAATATTCAGCACTACCAGTAATTAAATAATTACAAGTTAAAACAATTATATACTATTTATTTTTCCTGTAAAATTTGAAAATAATTACAATGGTAAGCATCAGTGACCTTCCTTCACTGCTGGTGGAGATATGTGTACGGTATATAGCAAAAGCATACTAAATCATTTGTGTATTTTGATCTATGTTTTCCCATACTGTTATTGATATGTCATGATGAAATCAGATACTACCAGGTTTATGTGCAAAGATGCTTGCTGAAGCATTTTGATGACAGTGATACTTTGAAGACAACCTAAATATTCAACAGTACAAATTACGGCACATCATGTGGCCATATTAAAGTGTATTGTATTTGTATATTAAATGACAGAGGAAAACATTCACAATATGATGCTAAAGGAGAGAAAGAATTACCCACAAATTAAGGTTACAATAGAAGACTAAATTTGAAATTAAATATTCAGTCAGTATGTGTTGAGTGCCTACTTCTTTGTTTTTGCCAATCAAAAACAAAGTGCTTGGATATATTGATGCGTGAAATGGAAGCCCCAGTCCTCATGTGGGTTATGTTTTAGCAGAAATAAGACTATAAATAAAAGTTCAAAATTTTTACTAGTAAAAATTCTTCATAAGATTATAACTGATTTTTGTTTCCTTATTTTTACCTTTGTCCTCCAATCACCTACAATGAAAATGAATTACTTTAGTGATAAAAAAAAAAATAATCACAACAGTGATCATGCTAGTTAAAATGGTGCTTAACCAATACTGTTTTCATAAATCTCAGATAATTATTATCTTTAATCCTTCTCAAGTTTTCAGACATTCCCTCTGGACCTTAAAGTTTATACAGTATTCATAAAATAATATTTCAGTTTCCCCCCTCTATTCCAAGGGAGCATACTGGTCTCACTAATTTGTCCTTAAAAAATTCAGTGAAAATATAATTAGTTGCAATTAATGTGTAAACATGAATCCTTGGTCCTAGAATTGGTTACCTTAGCACAATTTAGCGTATTTCTAAGTGATTATCTATCCATTGATATTATTGGTTGGCTAGTGTAAATGTAGTTTTAATTATCTTCACAACATAACTCAATATTCATTTACCTACAATTGTGTGATCTATCTAATTTTGTTATTTAAATTATGTTTATATTTGCATATGATGTTTTTTGAAAATACGTTTAATGGCTGCATAATGGTGTAGCTGTTCAAGTGCTGGTTGGG